GACTTTTTTCAGTTATAAGAAAAGCATAAATCAATATGCAAAGAGGGCTAAAGCAAGGTGCAAGAAAGTGCAAAAATGGGGAAAATACTTACTCTTGAAGTCCCTCTTTGAAACCAGCAACTTCAGGGGGTAGAAACTCACTTTCAGACCTCAAGAAGACCTCCCAAGAAACTTTGTCCAATGGTGGTGGTGTATATCTAGGTGTTGTAGTGTAAAAGTGCAAGGAAATCCAACTCCAAAGCACAAGACACAAACAATATAGAGAGAAAGAGAGGTTTTTTCTTCCAAAGTTGCAAAACCCCTGGCAAAGAGGGAGGTCTCTTGCTTATATAGAGGAATGCAAAGCCAAAGCTTCTTCAAGAAGCTTTACAAGGGCTTCATCCCTTCATACACGTGTATGGAGGGGAGCAAAAAAAAAACCAGCTAGCTCAAAAGATCTGGAGGAAAACCAGCTGAGACAGAGGGGTGCCGACCATCATCAATGGCCGGCAGTGGCTCACTGATGGCCGGTAGGGCATCACCAATGGCCGGCAGGAACAAGGCAATGGCCGGCAGTGCACCAAGAAGGTCAATTTGAAAGGACCTAGTCAAGGTCCAAAAAAAAAGGCAGAAAGGATACAGGGTCCGGGAAGCTCGAACCGGTGACGTTCCGCCGCGACAGTCGAGTACTCAGCGAGCAATCGAACTAGTTGTTGGGTGTACCTGCAAGCACAACCAAGTCTCGAGGACAGTCAAAAATGGGGTGTCTACAGTTGCCCTTGTTTGACAGAACTCGACAGTCACAAAGTGACGGGAGTGAGTGTCAAAGCCCAGAGACGACCCATTTTTGACAAGGTCGAAGACTCAAACAATCAATCAATATAGGCATGCGGAGATGTGCCTGAAGGCTGGGCATAACGCAAATGGTATGCAAGATGCAATAGCATGACTTATAGTTATGCCAAGAATGCTATAATGGAGCAAATCATGCAACAATTTTAAGCAGGTGAACAACAGTCCTACATATTTCGACAGGAAGGATGTAAGAAAATTATGCAAGTCTTACCACGTTTCACACGGAGTGCATATAATACCTGTGCGGCTCGTCTGGTTGTGCCAGCTTCAAATGAACCGTACATACAATATTGTGCTTGAAAGAGAAACAAAACTTAACATGTACAATTTTGTTAAAAGTGTGCATAACAATGCAATGGAAAGTGCGTGACAGCGCAAGTGAGGGGATGCATGACAATACAGGTGGAAGGGGGTTCATAACAATGCGACGCAGGCGCGTGCATAACAATGCGATTCGAAACAAGCATAACAATGCGGGAGGTTGCCTAAACACATGTAAGTAAAGCATACGTGGAAACGCATGCAATGTGTAAGCAAGCAAGGTATGAACACATGTAAGTAAAGCACAACGATGCCGGGATTACGTGCAAAGTGTATGGTAGAATGAAAATGCTAGTAAGAGTATCAGTAAGAAAAGTAAACCTGTAAGCTAACATGTAAAGTAGATAGTGAACGATGCATGTGTAAGAAGGCAAGGTATGAACCATGTAAGTAAGACACGTCGAACGTATACATTGTGTAAACTAAGATACATATCATTAATTAAAGTGAGTAAATGGCATCAATGTTACTCCTTGAGATGCATAAACACATCAAGTAAGCATAAACGGGAAAAGATCATGTGTAACGCGGTTGAAACATGAAAGTTAAGCACATGTGACTATACAAGTGTGGTACCATCTAGAATACATATAAATGTAATAAGCATGCGAAACACAAGCAATGTGTATGGAGAATGACAAATTAGTAAAGTTAGAGTAAGAATACAATTGTGTAACCTACCTGTGAATCATAAACCATGTAAAGTAAAGCATACGTGATAAAGATGCAATGTGGGCAAGAAAGGTATGAACATGAAATAGCACACGTTAAACGTTACAATGGTACATAAGATTACATTAAGCAGTAAGTAAGCATACAGTAACACAAGAATGTTATTGGCAGAAGAACACTAGTTAAGTGCGTAATATACGATTGTAACTCGTGAGATCATAACATGTAAGTAAAGCTACGTGAAACGTGCATGGTAAAGCGGTATGACACATTAAGTAAGCAATCGTAACATATCATGTGTAACGACCTAAAATATACCATGTAGTAGATGCATACGAAGCCAATGTGGTAGCAGGAATGAACATAGTAAGTAATTATGCGTACCATACAAGTTGTAAAAATTGTGAGAGCATCAAACATGTATAAGCAAGTGAAATGCTGCATGTGTAAGCAAGCAAGGTATGAAAATGCAAGTAAAGCACATGTGAAACGTATAGAAATGTAGTAGGAGTGGAAGAATAAATAAAAGTAAAGGCATGCAGTAAGCAACAATGATGTATGAAGGAAATAAACACAAGTTAAAATAGCAGTAACAGCATACAATTTGTGTAACTCTGTTGGATGGTCTATAAACATATGTAATAGATACGTGGAAACATTTTTTTTCGTGAATATGTAAGAAGTAGGTTATTGAACTGTTAGTAAGTTGCACTCGAAAGTTACAATGTGTAACACTAGAATAATTATACAAATGTATGAAAGCATGAGTAACCGCAATGTGTAGTGGCAGGAATGAACAATGTAATAAGTATGCGTAACGCATACAAATGTGTATAAAGGAGATGCATAACACATGTAAGTAGGCATAGTGGAGGACAGCGTGCAATGTGTTAAGCTAGCAGGTATTGAACACTGTAGTAAAGCACTAGTAAAGTATCAATGTGTACATAAAATAACTAACATCAATAATGAAACAATTAAGCAGCGAATAAAAACACATTACATGCAGAAGATAAAAAGATTAGCAATCTTAGCGGTATGTGGATAGATACACAAAAGATGGAGACGGTGTGATAGTTCACAGTGATATCATGTGGATAACACACACAAAGGGAGTTGTAGTGATAGATAACTATAGTGAATTATGAGATAAAGGTGCGTGTGAAGGATAGACAAGCGAAGTGTTGATTGTACAAAGTAAGCGTGTGGATTGATATCACAAGGGTGTGCTATATACCTAGTATGTGTGATGGTAAACAAAAGGTGAAACATGATAGTGTATAGATACAATTAGTGAATAATTTGATAGATACAAAATGAAACAAATGTGATTAGGATCACTTAGTGAAAAATATGTTAGATACATAAAAGGTGAACCAAAGTGTGATATTCACTAAGTAAACAAGTGTGATTGATCCAAAGGTAATCAAAGTGATAAGATCATGGTAAGTGATACAGTAATGATAGATTACTAAGGTATCAAAGTGTGAAGATCACTTATGTGAAAATGTGATGAGAGTACACTAAGGTGACAAAAGTGGTTGAAGAGCACTATGTGAACCATGTGATTGTACACCTAAAGGTTGAACACAAAGTGGGATAGATGACTATTGTTGAACATGAGTTGATAGATGTGACTAATAATAGAAAACGAAGTTGTGATGAGATGTACTTAGTGACAGTATTGATTGATATATCTAATGTGAACAGATAGTTTGATTTTGATCATTAGTGATCAGATGATGATTATAGAAAGGAAACACGTAATGTGAAGTGCACTAGGAATGTATATAGATATACAAGGGTGAACACGAAGTGATAATGCATAATGAAGCAGGTATGATGATACTAAGGTGAAATAAAGTGTGATATGATCTAATGAACAGGTGTGCATGATACAAAATATGAATGAAGTGATATGTGCTGATAGATACGTTCAAAATAGGATGTGTGGTGAAGATAACAGAAATTAGAATATGTATGATAATAGAAAAAAGGAATGTGTGTGATGTAGATACATGTAAAATAAAGAATGTGATGATAACAGTCTAGTTGATAGAGTTGATGATAAACCTAAATGAATGAATGTGATGTACACTAGGAATGATTTTAAACGAAATTGATTGAATGACAGTAATATAAAATGTTGCATGATGAGAAAGAATCTTGATAGTTATAAATGATTCAATCATATTAATGGAATTGCAAAGAAACAGCATTAGGGTGCTTTAGAAAGCACCTATGGTGTGAGTGGCGATGAACGTTTTATCTGAGT